CCGAGAGCGATATCTCAGCTCGTGGAGTTATGAGTATCGTATTGACAAGCGGTTGGTCTTGTTTTAGAGAGCAAAGAATTCTGCTTAATGCAATACCATGAAATTATTCTAGACTCGCAGGCAAAGTAGAATAATGTAGTCGTGAAATAGCACTATTTTCCCGTTTTTCCGTTGTACACTCTAGGTATTATCCGCTCTTGATATATATATATATCAGGAGCTAATAATGACAAGGGGTCATTATCACAATTTGTCATTATTAGCTCCTGATATATATTTTTTTTCTCTCACTCTCTCTCTCTATATATAATATATATCCATCTCCCTCACTCTATACATCTCGTTCTCGCTGACGTCATCTCACCAGCGCGTTCTCTTGTTTCTCTCTCCCCGCAGGAGGCAGATGCCGCCGACGCTCGACGGACAGCTGACGATCGAGAAGACGCCATCTTACTTCATCACGCGCGAGGCGCCGCGCCGCATCGCCGCCATGTCGCGCGACGTCAAGCTGATGATCGTCGTCCGCGACCCGGTGACCCGCGCCATCTCGGACTACACGCAGACGGCGAGTAAGCGGCGGTCCGTCGCTCCGCAGCGGCCCTTCGAGTCGATGGCGTTCACGAACCGCACGACGGGCCTCGTCGACACGTCGTGGAGCGCGATCAAGATCGGCGTCTACGCGAAGCACCTCGAGCGCTGGTTGAGACACTTCCCGCTGTCTCGAGTGTGCCTCATCAGCGGCGAGAAGCTCATCGCCGACCCGGCCGCCGAGATGCGACGCGTGCAGGACTTCCTCGGTCTCAAGCGGGTCATCAGCGAGAAGCATTTCTACTTCAACGAGACGAAGGGGTTCCCGTGCCTCATGAAGGCGGAGCGCAGCGGCAGTCCGCACTGCTTGGGGAAGACGAAGGGACGCACGCACCCGCGCATCGACCCGCAGGCGGTCGCGCGGCTCCGCGACTTCTACCGGCCGTTCAACATGAAGTTCTACCAGATGACCGGCATCAACTTCGGCTGGCCGTGACCCCGCCGTGACCCCGCCGTGACCTCGCCGTGACCCCGCCGGTGCTGCGCCCTGTCGTGATGATGCGGTCGTCGGTGTTCGACGCACCGATTAGAACCCTGGCGATGGCGGAGGTTTGCGCTCGTGGCGCCCCCTCCCCAGTCGCCGCCGAGGGAACAAGCGAACGTCGTCGGGCGAACGAATTATCCGCAGGGGAGATGCGCTACCTCCGATGGGACGGAGCGCCCTCTGTTGACTGAGGCACGTCTCTAGTGGCGCCCTCTGTGATGTATGTGGTGCCCCCTGCCGATGTAGACTGAGAATGCGCATAATCCCAAGAGATCCCCCGTCACTCCCTAAACTAGAAATGATCCCTCCCACTCCCTAGCTGGGATAGTTCCTCCTTCCCTAGCTGAGAAAAATCCCTCCTACTCCCTAGCTGGGATAGTTCCTCCTTTCCTAGCTGAGAAAAATCCCTCCTACTCCCTAGCTGGGATAGTTCCTCCTTCCCTAGCTGAGAAAAATCCCTCCTACTCCCTAGCTGGGATAGTTCCTCCTTTCCTAGCTGAGAAAAATCCCTCCTACTCCCTAGCTGGGAGAGTTCCTCCTTCTTCCCTAGTTGGGAGAGTTCTATCTCACTCCCTATCTGGGAAAGATTCCTCTTATCCCTATCTGGGATAGTTCCTCCTACTTCCCTAGCTGGGAGAGTTCTATCTCACTCCCTATCTGGGATAGTTCTATCTCACTCCCCATCTGGGAAAGTTCCTCCTACTCCCTAGCGGGGATAGTTCTATCTCACTCCCTCCCTATCTGGGAAAGATCCCTCCTACTCCCTATCTGGGATAGTTTCTCCTTCTTCCCTAGCTGGGATAGTTCTATCTCACTCCCTATCTGGGAAAGCTCCCTCTCCCTTACCTATCCTGTCTAACCCGCACAAGGCGTCTGCCAGAAAATTCATACTTGCGTTGCGAAGGTAGCAGATCGTAACCCGATTGACTATTGATATATTTATCGCTGAATTTTCTCAGTGTTTG